TAACCTCCAAAAGGGGAATTTTCCAGCTGGTAATTTCTGCTGCGTCAACACCCAGCTCAAGGGAGAGGAGAAGAGACAAGGGGGCATTTTAACAGCAGCTCCACTTGCGAATAGCCAAGCCTCAATCCCGGCTCCAGCATTAAAACCCTTTCCGCCCCCTAAAAACCAGCATCCGTGCAAGTTGGACCAAGAGTTTGTCAGGAGTGTGGTTCAAAACTGCTTGGAAAAAGGGATGAGGTAATAATACTGGTGAAGCATGTTGTATTTCTCTCTTTCTGCCTGTCTCTCTCTTTCTCTTTCTCCCTCTCCTCTTCTCTGTCGTTTTTCTCTTTTTTTTTTTTTTTTTTTTTTTTTTTTTTAAAGCCAGGCCTGTTTTGGGTTATTGTCTCCCCCTAAAGCCAGACATAGATCGCCTGGCCTTGCCTCCATTTTAATTGCAGGCTGAAATGGGGGAAGTGACCCTCTTTTTTTTTAAAAAAAAATAATAAATCAAACCCCAACAAACAAACGAAAAAAAAACCTTGAGAAAATAATGCTATTCCTTTTGGGGGGGCATATAGGTGATTTTTCATAAGGCTGTAACAAGTGCAAAAGTGGCTGTAAATGTTTTCTGTCATGCTGGGAAACTAGTGAGGTGTCCTCCCCCCTCCCCAGAAGAAAGTGCTTGTAAAATTTGGCGGAGGGGAGAAGGAGAGGTGCTGCGAAAGGTGCTGGTAGGAGAAGGGGTTGTGCTGCTGGATTGCCTTTGTGTCTCTGTAAATAGACATGTCAGTTTCCCAAAGTAATACAAGTAGTGTCTGATAACTCAATCCCAGATGACAAATAGAGAATGGAGCAGATTTTCAGGACTGTAATAGTGGGAGGATTTCTCTTTTGAAACGGAGGAGAGGAAAAAAAAAAAAAAATGCTGGTACCTCCTGAGGAGGTTCTTCACCGGCGCGTTATTGTGAAGCTGAGCGTTCGGATGAAATCCAGAGATATAAACCGATATTTATTTATATTTACACCTGACAGGGGAAAGATAAACAAAGGAGAGTTTAACAGCTCTTTAATGAATTCCTCATGCTTTTTATTTTGCAATCTCAATGATTCATTTGGCAAGCCTTACAGGACCGGATTATTATCAGCATTGTTTAAAGCCATGCTAATTAGGAGATGTGTTTTGCAAACAGTGGTATTGTAGACACCTGTACCAAAGTTCTTGCATGCATTTTAATTGCATCACTGGTATCATTTTTAGCATTTAGTCACTGTAATACAGATCTAGGTCTCAGTTCTTGAACTCAATCAAGTATTTATTACAAGTGTGGGTTCTCTGTGTACGTAGAGCAGCTCTGCTACTAACACATTAAATGTATTTTCTCAAAAAGGGGAGTATTTTTTCTCTTTCATTTTTTTTTCTATGGGGTTTAAAAAGAAAAGCTGGGTTATCCAAGAAGAGCGAGGAAAATGTAATTCTGAGGAAGAAGCTTGCTGTGACTGGATAGCTCTTCCACTTTTATCATTACCTTGCTTAAACATTTTATGTTTTTTGTAGCATCTTTTAATTGGGAATAAAATTTGACTTTCCCTTTCTAAATTCTGTCTAGCTTCTCTCGCTGTTTCTCAAGTTTTATATTTTGAAATCCTTAGTGATGGAAAAAAATGGGTGGAGTGTATTATTAGTCACAATATTTTCAACATGTGGTGAGGAATTACCGCTTTAAGGTGTTTTTTGGGAATTGACAAGAACTGGGCAGAGGAGCCTGCCCCATGGGCTGAAGGGAGAGCTACAGGCAGTATTTGGGGGAGCTCCCAAACATACCTTCCTGAAAAATATTCCGTGGCTTGGTGTGCTACTGGGATAACTGTAACTGAAACAGAAAACTAGTCTTTTGTTTTTGATGCAGCCTGTCCAGGAGGGGGAAACTCACTCACAGCTAAACTTCTCTCGCAGTTGTTTTCATAGGCTGTATGTGAGCTTTGGTGTAATTGAGTCAATTTTAGTGCGGTACCAAAAAATGGGGTGTTCTAATAACTCTTAACGTTAGATGTTTATTCATATACTTTAAATGCTGCTTCATTCTAGGGTGTGTAGCCTTTGAAAACATGACCTGTACACGGGGTTCTTGGAGACTGAAGAAAATGGGCCACTTTCTCCCCGTGGTCTTTGTTTTCTGGGACAGTTGTACAACAGTGGATATATTCTTCGCAAGAGGATTTTTTTTTTTTTTTTTTTATTACTGGAAGCGGTTAGAGGAAAACCAGTTTAGCAGTTCCCCCCTTCCCAGCAGTCCTCCTTCAAAAGGAAAAACGCCTCATGTCTGAAAGATTTGCTCTTAATACGCCTGCTTTTCCTCCGGTAATGTGTTGTGTTGCTGTGAGGTTGAACATACTCTTTTTGTCTTTGCTGTCCACTTGTGTGGATATTTTTTTTTTTTTTGGTGTTTTGTTTTAGATCTGTGTTTTTGAAGTTTCTAAGCAAAGTTTCCTGTCCTCCCAGCAGCGCGGCAGCAGGCTAACACCCAATCCAAACTGCTGTTGCTTGCTTTCAGAGCAGAATTATTTCATAAACAGCTCAACCTTTCCCAGGACATTTTTTCCCTTAATGTTCTTGCTGGCTGCTCCAGAGGACTCTGTAACCCTCTCTGGGCTCCCCCTAAATTGGTAAAAAGCGTTCACAGGGGTTTTTCCTTGCTCCCGTCTGCTTAGTTTAATGGGCAAACAAAAGCTCAAAGAGAGGGCTTAGTTTAAGCTTTGAAGAGCTACCTGCAGTTGTAATGGTGATCCCACACGTCCGTTATAATTCCCAGGAGCCGGCACTCCGTGTCCAGTCCTGGCTGCGAGCGTTACCCTAGAAAATTCTGACACTTTGCACAAAAGCTTTAAGACCGTGTTTATATTTTTCCTTCTGGCTTGAATATTTCTAAGTGCGTAGCTTACCTGTGTTTTATGTGTGTGATATTTGAAACTTAAAATGTATTAATAGTGGAAGCGGGCACGCTGTGGGGCTGTCTGTAGATAGCAGGGGTCACGTTAGGTGAGAGCACAAGGACCTACCACGGCCGTGAGATAGAGGGAGGTGTTTGGTCTGAGAGAAGTACCAAGATCCTGTTCCTCACCGAGGGGTCTCCAGGAGCATTTTTATGCTCTTTTGGTCAAGTACAATGACAGTCAGGACTCCAGTATTAAAATTTGTTGCCTCAAAAACTTCATTTTAATCCTTCCTGAGGGCTTTTTGTTTCCCTAGGCGATACCTTTGTGTTACAGCCCCCTTAAATACAACCTCCAGTAGTTGGTTTTCTCCATTCCCTCTAGATCTTTAGTCCTTTAGGCAGGAGGAGAAATAAAAGCGTGGATCGCCTGTTGCGGGATTTCTTTCACTTTAGAGGTAAGAGGAGAGAATCTTGACTTCCCTGAGCAATTCAATAGTTTTGTTTTGTGGTGCCTTGTTGTGTTTGGAAGCACGACGATGTGCGGATCGCAGGGGTAGCTGCCTGGGATTCAGTTCCCATCCCATAGCTGTTTGTTGAACATGCTGGTGGCGTAACTGCTTTTCCCCCTTCTGTGAAACAAGGGTGCCAGGGTTTACTCAGCTCTTCCAAAACATTTTCTAATATGCTGATGAAAAATGATAGTTGTGCTAAAAACGCTTATTCTTCATAAGTGCAAACTAGTGTGAAGTCCTCGCTGAATTTCCTATGAGATGTGGTGGAGCTCAGAGGCTCGTGGGTGGGGTTTTCTGTCCCTTACTGAGTTAGCTGTGGCGCGGTTATTTTCTGAACGATTCCTTTAACTTGCTTTCCCACCCGTGTATTTAAGAACCACCAGTTTGTGTTTTGACTGTGTGGAATAGCTTCCCTGTGCTTCCCAGGCAGGGTGAGATCTTTGACAGTAATTGTAATGAGATGGAAATGCGTTGGGCTGGGCGGTGTTCTGTTGTGCGTAGGTAAGGATGTACGTGTGCATTGGAACAGTGCCGTGAGGAACGGTGGCTTTGCTGAGGTGTAACAGGTAGATGCTGAGTTAAGAGCTGAAACTCACCTTTTTGCCTTGGTTTTTGGGGATGTGGCTCTCTTTATTCCACCCCACACAGTGGTCATCCCTCCGTCCTGGTACCCACTCGGGGAAAAAAATGTCCTGTGGATGTTGGAAGTTGCCCAGCGTTCACTTTATAGTATAAATGAGTTGGGGTCTCCTGTAATGGAGGAGGGCAATGAGGCATCAGAAATATTCCACAAACACAGCTACTAGCTTGTGTATGGATTAAAATAAACTCAGTAGCAAGAATGTCAGTGTGTGTGCCAGGAACTCAGCTGCTTAAGAACTCTACTTAGAAAATTGAGTAGGGTTTTATGTATTAAAGAATATGTTTATACCTATGTATACTTTAGTACTCAGTTATCTTTCCTAATTATTTCCTCTTCGTGTATTGAACAAACTGCTTGTTCTATCCAAGGGAGTTTGCTTCCCTGTATTCCCCACTTTGTGAGGAAGAACTCTGCAGAAAGAGTTGATATTTCAGGCGGTTGGCTCCCTCTCTTTGAGGAAGAGGTTAAACGAAATTTACACCTTCTGCACTAATACATCATTGGAGGAAATACCTTTCTGACTGGTGCTCAAATCATGCTCTGAAAGAGAAGAATCGATGGTCTGTATTAGCCATTAGGTGCTTAAAATACCCAAACCCAACACCAACTAATTTAAGTACTGATAAATGAAGTAGTCAGGATGCAGTGCTCCTAAAAGTCCTGCCTCTATAGTGTTGGGAGAATGAGGTGGTGGCTAAATATAAAACTAGCTTATTGACTTCCTTCTTATTACCACTGTATCCTTCTTGGCTTCACTCCACTTCTGGGGTTTTTTTGGTGTTTTGTTTGGTTTTTTTTTATAATAGGTGATCAAATCTGGATTATGAGATTTATACTAAAAAATAAAAAGGGTACTTATCTGAGGCATTAAGTGCGTGTGCCGTGAATTACACAAACAAAATCAGATTGTTCACAGAGCACCTCATATATTATCTTTAGTTTTGCACTGGTTAATTTTTTTACTCTTAGATTATTCTTGACTCCTCCGTGTCTTTTCTGTCTCTTAGGTGCTCTTTCTCTCAGTTCCTCCCACTGCTGTACTTCTCTTTAAAAATTACCTCATGATTCTTCCTCCTTCTTTGGCTCCCTCTCTTCTTACGTACTGAGTTTGGGAACTTTAGCAAAGATCCCCTAGCTAAAAAGCCAAAAACCAATGAGAAAGTTTTGGGGGAACCGTTCTTTAGGGCAATTCCCAGTGTGGTGTGCTTGCAGTTCTTTAATCCTCTTTTTTTTTAAGGTGCTTTTTATGTTGTTTTTTGTCTAATAGATGCACGAGGGCAGTCTTTTTGCTTAGATTATTTTTGTGACTCTTTTTAAGTAGAAGCTTAAGATCTTGTAGGAGTTAATGGCACTTGGACAGGTAAGTGTCACACTCGCCACAGGCATTTTCATTTTTTCAGGTTGTTTTTTAATCTTCACTGCTGGAGTAGCAAATACAGCTGTAGATAATTTTTTTTTTTATATTGCTAGACTTCTTGAGCCTGGTACCCTGTAAGGTACTTGATTTTTTAAGTGCTGGCTGGCTCTTTCCTATTCTTGCTGTGTTCTGCAAGGTCTGTGGCACGGGCAGTGTTGGATCTGTCCTTCTCTTGGTTCAACCAGATGAGACAGAGAGAACAAAAATAGGGGAATGATATGGGCAACTGTTCCTGTACCGTGGTGGAGCTCTCCATGATGGAGAGAGAGGATGGAGAGACAGGCAGATGTACAGAGTTGGAAGTTATGGGGAAATGAGTAAGTGAAACAGAGAGGAAATATAAAGAAATATTACAGCAAGTAAGCATTTTGAACTAGAGCATGCACCTAGTGCCCTCTAAGGAAAGGTGCATCCTGTTGTGTTACCAGTTGGAATATTGTATTTCAGGCTGCATAGCTTGTACAGGCATGGAAAATAAAACCCTCTCCTTCTGTTTTACCTTCTTTTTCTGTATCTTTTTGGGCTTTCTGTTTTTCACAATTTTTAAGGGGGGAACAAACTGCTTTATGTAGTACTTATGTACACGCTCTTCTTTAACTTGAGGGTGACGCTGGCTTTCGAAGGCTCTGATTCAGTCCAGTTGGGTGGGAATAGAACTCAAATATTTTTCTTTTGTATAATGCAGGCACGTAATTTTTCTGTAACTTTAAGCAAATGTTTTTGTTGGGAGGGGAATCACTGTAACTGTGAGGTTAGATTAATACTAACCCCATTTAAAGTGTGTGGATGGCAGATGTAGCAGAATCATTAACTGAAATTTTATTATGTTAACTAGAACAAGAAATTATGTTAGAATTGTTTGAAATCCTCATATAAAGTATTAGTTTTTACAGTGACTTTTTCAAAGCATTTCTATTGAAGCAGTCAGAAGTTGTTAATAGTCTTACGATTTGTATGTTAAACTCTTTAAAACAAGAGCTAAATCATATTTCCTATATGTCAGGATATTTCTTGTTCAAAATGGCAGTGTTGTAAATGTGCAGTTATTTTAACTGTTGCTTGTCGTTACGTTGACAAGCAACAGTTAAATATTAGGTTAAAGTATTAGGTTAAAGTTTAGATTTTAATTTTTGCCTCCTATTCTTTCCATTCCCAAATACAGGACATCTGATGAACCTTTTGGAGCCTGTTACCAGAGACCATTCTCCTCTATTCACTGAAACATGCACTGTCCAGCTGTGAAACATCGCGACGTCTATTTTCGCTAACAGGAAACATTTTCAAATATTGGTAAGTTCTTAGCATTTAAAGATATTTTTGTAATGTGGTAAGGGAAGGAGAAAGAGTAGCTGGAGATAACGTTGTCATGAGGGCTTACAGTTCTTTATAAAATTTGATTTAACGTTGATAACAAAGGCTTGTTTAGAAATCTTACCCAATTGCAAAAGTTGAAAAAATACCTCTGGCTGTTCTTCTGCTCCTACCTTGTGGCAGAGGTGCCTCCATTAATCATGGTCTCTTGGTTCTCATCTCTTCCATTAGAAGAGGGAAACAGGTGCAGAGCTTGAAGCAAGAAGGAAGAATGCAGAGTGGTGCAAAATAGTGCAAGTCTCTGCTTTACCTTTCTTACCAGCCTGTTCTGGCTCATGTTGTGACTCTGGGACAGAGGTGTAAATGAGAGTCTTAACAGTAACAGTCCTAAGACTAAGTGAAAATACCCATTACTCTTACACATTGCTGCCAAACTGATTTCCAATGTCTCTCTGTTGGTCTGGCTCCCTCACTCTCCCACTTTATTATTATTTTTTTTTAACTGTCTAAATCACGGGACTAAAAAGAGCCAGCCAAAACAATTGCTATGGAGAAGCAATCAGAATTAGAGAAAGGCGAGAGTCGGCAGTCTGAAATAGAAATTGAGAACAAAGTCGATGGTATTTGCTTCACTTGGGTCATATTTGTTTTCAAGATTTTCACAGTTCTGCTTGTTGCCATAAGAATGCTTGGATTTTCCTTATTACTTTATTTGTTTATTAGATGTGTTATTTCACCCTTTATAATGATCTTAGTTTCTGTTGGAAAAGCTTTCTTAATTTTTATCTTCTGATGTTTTCTTTCACAATCTGTTACTACAGAAGGTCAGTCTTGAAACCAACAGTATTGATTTATAGCTTATTTTCATTAAGAGACCGAATCTCTATATTGAAGATGTCTGAAATAACAGACATCAGAAATACAAGGCAAATAATTTGCTGTAATGACTTAACAGAATATGAACAGTATAAAGTTTTGAATAAAGCATAATCAGAAGTTTTAGTTGGAGTTAAATGTTGCAAGTGTAGTGAATATGCTGATCTGAAGAAAGTCTGTTGTTGCAAGTGTAGTGAATATGCTGATCTGAAGAAAGTAAAGTCTGTTTATATAGGAAAAAACAGGTGTACAGGATGATAATTATAGTGAATGCATCCTCACAGACAAAAAAACCTTTGTGTAGATGAACTATTCTTTATACCTCGTAATCGTAAACATTAATGTTTTATCTGAGAATTCCGTCTGTGAAGGTGCCTTACTGTACCTAAGTATCTATATTTCACACAGAATTTTCAATCCTGGGATTGTGTAGTCTCTTAACCTCAAATGACATCAGCCAATAGAAACTGGCCATTAAAAATTTCAAGAGGAAATTCTCTTGAATATTCCATTGCAAAAGGAGTTGTATTGGTAGCTTTTTAACCTCAGTATTTTATAGGTCAGATAAGGTGAATAAGTGCCCTTCGGGCCACAAATGTCTCTTTAAAAAGTCATTGAAGTGAGAATGTTTTGAAAAGCTACCAAACAGGAAACACTGTTGTTTCAAGGATCTGTTTGAAGTTTTCGTATCTAAAATTAGAAATTTTTTTCCCATACTTTAAGAAGTAACTCTTGCTTAAATTGTTGCAAAAAGGTAACCAGGCTTTAGTTAGCTAGAATGCATTGGTACACTTTGAGGTAATGTTTTTTGGGGGTTCATAAGGCCATAAATAGGGGTGTTGCAACTGAGTTTGGAGAGAAAGGACTTCAAAATAAATCACTGTTGTTCAGTAATCTTGTAGTTTAATGTTAATAACTTCTTCTGGTTTTGTTTTTTTGTCATAGTTACGTCTTTCTCCTGCAAGAGTTCACCCCAGTGCTGTTGGAAGGTCGCGGGACAGTGCACTACCTGTGCTGCCCTAGGGCTGTTGATGTCCTCAGCTGTTGTAGGAGAAACACCAGACCTGGAACCCAGTTTGTTACTGGTAAGAAGTAATTGTCTTGGATTTTAATTTTTTGTTTAATATCGAAGTTTGCATGCTTTCTCTAACAAAATCACTAAAAATCATTTCACTGCTTATTAAGTTAAGAACACTGTAGCAAAATGCGCATCTCTGATCTCTTTTTTAATTTTTTTTTAAATTTTTTTTTATTCTCCTCCTACGTTTAACTTTACAGTTGCTAAATTTCTAATTGCCCTCCTTCCAAAATATGGAGTATAGTAGTTTTCCCTTAGCTTTCATTTTCAGACTTGGTTTTCTCTTGAAATTCTTCATGCACTGTCAGAAAGTTGAAAAAATACCTCTGGCTGTTCTTCTGCTCCTACCTTGTGGCAGAGGTGCCTCCATTAATCATGGTCTCTTGGTTCTCATCTCTTCCATTAGAAGAGGGAAACAGGTGCAGAGCTTGAAGCAAGAAGGAAGAATGCAGAGTGGTGCAAAATAGTGCAAGTCTCTGCTTTACCTTTCTTACCAGCCTGTTCTGGCTCATGTTGTGACTCTGGGACAGAGGTGTAAATGAGAGTCTTAACAGTAACAGTCCTAAGACTAAGTGAAAATACCCATTACTCTTACACATTGCTGCCAAACTGATTTCCAATGTCTCTCTGTTGGTCTGGCTCCCTCACTCTCCCACTTTATTATTATTTTTTTTTAACTGTCTAAATCACGGGACTAAAAAGAGCCAGCCAAAACAATTGCTATGGAGAAGCAATCAGAATTAGAGAAAGGCGAGAGTCGACAGTCTGAAATAGAAATTGAGAACAAAGTCGATGGTATTTGCTTCACTTGGGTCATATTTGTTTTCAAGATTTTCACAGTTCTGCTTGTTGCCATAAGAATGCTTGGATTTTCCTTATTACTTTATTTGTTTATTAGATGTGTTATTTCACCCTTTATAATGATCTTAGTTTCTGTTGGAAAAGCTTTCTTAATTTTTATCTTCTGATGTTTTCTTTCACAATCTGTTACTACAGAAGGTCAGTCTTGAAACCAACAGTATTGATTTATAGCTTATTTTCATTAAGAGACCGAATCTCTATATTGAAGATGTCTGAAATAACAGACATCAGAAATACAAGGCAAATAATTTGCTGTAATGACTTAACAGAATATGAACAGTATAAAGTTTTGAATAAAGCATAATCAGAAGTTTTAGTTGGAGTTAAATGTTGCAAGTGTAGTGAATATGCTGATCTGAAGAAAGTCTGTTTTATATAGGAAAAAACAGGTGTACAGGATGATAATTATAGTGAATGCATCCTCACAGACAAAAAAACCTTTGTGTAGATGAACTATTCTTTATACCTCGTAATCGTAAACATTAATGTTTTATCTGAGAATTCCGTCTGTGAAGGTGCCTTACTGTACCTAAGTATCTATATTTCACACAGAATTTTCAATCCTGGGATTGTGTAGTCTCTTAACCTCAAATGACATCAGCCAATAGAAACTGGCCATTAAAAATTTCAAGAGGAAATTCTCTTGAATATTCCATTGCAAAAGGAGTTGTATTGGTAGCTTTTTAACCTCAGTATTTTATAGGTCAGATAAGGTGAATAAGTGCCCTTCGGGCCACAAATGTCTCTTTAAAAAGTCATTGAAGTGAGAATGTTTTGAAAAGCTACCAAACAGGAAACACTGTTGTTTCAAGGATCTGTTTGAAGTTTTCGTATCTAAAATTAGAAATTTTTTTCCCATACTTTAAGAAGTAACTCTTGCTTAAATTGTTGCAAAAAGGTAACCAGGCTTTAGTTAGCTAGAATGCATTGGTACACTTTGAGGTAATGTTTTTTGGGGGTTCATAAGGCCATAAATAGGGGTGTTGCAACTGAGTTTGGAGAGAAAGGACTTCAAAATAAATCACTGTTGTTCAGTAATCTTGTAGTTTAATGTTAATAACTTCTTCTGGTTTTGTTTTTTTGTCATAGTTACGTCTTTCTCCTGCAAGAGTTCACCCCAGTGCTGTTGGAAGGTCGCGGGACAGTGCACTACCTGTGCTGCCCTAGGGCTGTTGATGTCCTCAGCTGTTGTAGGAGAAACACCAGACCTGGAACCCAGTTTGTTACTGGTAAGAAGTAATTGTCTTGGATTTTAATTTTTTGTTTAATATCGAAGTTTGCATGCTTTCTCTAACAAAATCACTAAAAATCATTTCACTGCTTATTAAGTTAAGAACACTGTAGCAAAATGCGCATCTCTGATCTCTTTTTTAATTTTTTTTTAAATTTTTTTTTATTCTCCTCCTACGTTTAACTTTACAGTTGCTAAATTTCTAATTGCCCTCCTTCCAAAATAAGGAGGATAATAGTTTTCCCTTAGCTTTCATTTTCAGACTTGGTTTTCTCTTGAAATTCTTCATGCACTGTCAGACCTAATGAATTCTAATAATGGATTTTTTCTAAAACACCTCAGAAATCCTGTTTTTTGGTTGCACTTGTGTAGTGTCCAGCTTCTGCGCACTTCAGGTAGATGGTTCGACAGGGCAAAGGCCAAAGCCAAGTCGTTAAAGTTTTGGATAGAGAGTGAAGTGTTTAATGACAGCTCCCTGTCATTTTCTGTTCTGCTTATTGGAGTTAGAGTTTGCTTGTGGATTGTGTTTGGATTGTGGAAACAAAGCTTTAATGAGGTGGTGAATGACTGGAGGCGTGTAGTGTTTTGCGTGTCCTTCTTCTTTTTGCTGAAATTGGCCACTTTTTTATTCCTAAATGGATTTGGATCTATGTATTTTCATGGTAGAAGCAGCTGTATACTGGTCATAAGGTCTTAAATGTGTTGTATTTCCTGGCTAAGTCTAACCCAGACAGACAGGGAGCTGAAATCTCTTTGCCTGCCCTGGGAACTAGTGGTTTGAGCGAGTAATTTCTTTGCTGTTGTGTTCTGGCCCAAAGTATGATGTTGCTCTGCTGCTGCTGTTTGAACTTTGCTCATGGGCTTTCAGGATTGTAACTACTACAGAGATGTTGAACAGAAACGCTGTTTTAATGTTGATGATGGGGGATCAGCGTTGGCTTGAAATCGGAGAAATTTTGGTCAATCCTCATCAGGCAGATGTTAGTTGAATTCTTTTAGGAGCCTGGGTGGTTTTTTTGCCCTACAGTCATAGAGAATTGAGTGGGCATCTCAAATTTGATAACAAAAATATAACTAGTATTTTTCTTTAATTCACTGAAAATGGTTTGCCTCCCAAATTCTTGCCTTTTCTGTAGTTGTGTAGTATTTCTCAAACTGAATGACGAAACTTTTATTTTCTTCCTGTGACTCCTGACCTGTAAGGATGAACGTGCACTGTTGGGCTGCAATTAAACATTCTTATCCCTGGTCATAAGGGAAAAGTGGTACAATGTTGTTTTCATGAAACTGTGAGTTGTGAGTAACCTCTTTGGCCCAAGGGTCTGGTATGGTCTGTTTACAAACATCTTCCTGTTTCTCTTTGAATTCAGAGTTGTGGTTGGAATGACCAACTTAAACAATGAGTGATCGGTTTCATGAGTCAGAAGAGAGTAGAAGAGTTTCTTTTGGCAACTGTTCATTTTCATAAGCTGTTACTTGCATCTACTATGAACAGAGGTGAAAATACAAATATAATTTTTGGGGGTATCTAGTATCAAAAAATTAAAGCTCTTCTTCCTCAAACACACCTAGGAGAAAACACTTTGCTTTTGGAGATTTGTAGTTGTAAAGCTCGCGAGCGGTGTCTTCACAGGGAGTTCTCATCCATTTATACATGGGGTCTTCTACTTGCTCTTTCATTTGGAATAACTACAGGTACCGTCCTTTTTGGTTGCTAAGGTTACATTGGGGTTTTGTTCTCCGTTTTTTAAAACACAGGGCACATGGATAGGAGGAATCCTATGCATTTCTGTTGTCTGTAATTGGGTAAAAGTGAAACTCGTACACACACTGTGTCTTGTTGTGCAAGGAGGCGTTTCGAGCCCAATCTCACCTTACAGAGCTCCTTTGCAGAGGAATTTCAAAAATGTTGGAATGTCTTGGGAGTGGAGACGTGGACAGGACACAGGGGAAGCAGAGAAGTGGGGTGTGTTTGTTGGGTTTTTTGTGTATAATAAACCATTGGAGTGAATTTGAGTTCTTCCTTAATCTGTTTTTACTTTTCTCTGAAGGGAGAAAGGGGGAGGAAACAACACATTTTTGGTTAAATTCCAGTTGGCCTGTTTTCTCTAGGGAGCACAGAGTAGCTGGTGGAGGAGTACACCAGTGAATATTCTGGTACTTTTTAATTTGTGTCCTAGTATTAAGTGTAGAAACATGTTTAGAAAATTGTAACAGACTAAATGTCATGTAGTTTCAATTTTTGATTTCCTTATATTCTGAGAGCAAAAAGTAAACAAACAAAAACCCCTACCAAAAGAAAAAAAAACCCTCTAGGGTTTTTTTTGGTGGTTTCCCCCCCCCTCCCCTGCTTTCCTTCTGAGTGAAGGGAATTTATTTTTGTCCTCGCTATTTCCCAGGGGACTGTACTGTGTAAGTTTTCATCTGTGTACTCCATTTATTGTGTGTGGCTTTTTGTCAAAATTCAAATAATGCACGGAGTTTTAGATGCAACAAATTTGTACCCCTTGATAGTATTAGTGTTAAGATTTTGGTCGGGCAGCTTTTTGTATGTGTGCGTGCTGAGAGTTTGGTTTTTCAAGTATTACTGGTTACTTGTTTTAACTCCCTTCCAACATGAGGTGAAGATTGTGTTTATTTACTCTTATGTCATCAGGTGATATTCTCGTGTTCAAATAATTGTACTGATAGTGCAAAATAAACAGTTTTCGTAGGTACCATATTTGAGTAGCAAAAGTTCATTCTAGCTAGGGTTAAAGATTATATAAATTATTAATGCTTACTTTAAGACCAGATTTTTGACAACATGAAAACTAAGAAGCTGGCCTGTGTCTTGGCAGAAGTTTGCATGAAAGTGATTATTAAATCTGTTCATGTTTTGTTCTTTTTGCTGTTACATGCAAGTGTTATTTGTTTAGGGACAACTTTTTTTTTTTTTAGTTATTTCTAGAAAAGTAATAGACTTGAATTACTCTACTATCTGCGATTTGACTTATGAAGAAAGCCTGATCTGCTACAATTTATTTTGTGGAAAGTCTACAGATGAGCTTTCGTGGTTCATTGGCTTCTTGGAAAGCTGTGTTGTGGCCATGTGCTGTCATGGCAGGCCCAGGCCTAAAGGATTTTAGTAGGTGCTCAACTTTGAAATCCTTCAGTGGACTAAAAATACCTGAAATAAAACAAAAAACCCCCCAAACATTCTTGATCTTCAAGGTTTGTTTCTAAAAAATCTCCACAGTTTATTCCGTCTTTACCATGCTTCTACTAGAAATTTGAAGGGTACTGCTCTTCTGAAGAAATCTTTCTACAAGATCTTTTAAGTGGAGATAAATACCGTTACCAGGAAAAGGAGAAAAAAACCCACCCAACAGCAAGCCACAAAACAGCATGAAAAATTGGAACACAAGAGCACAGGGTTTTTGAAGCTTCCTGAATTTTTAACTACTAGCAAATTGCCTTAAATTTAACTTGGATTAATTCCCTAGTGATCCTTGACATTAAACGGATGTTCTGGTTTGACATGGGTAGACAGAAAACTAATTAATTCCTCTGAATTTGAGGCATATTTAATTTTCTCCCCCAAAGACCTCTCATTTAAAAGGTACGATGCTGTAACAAATGTTGAATGCAGAACGATGTGTATAAGGTAGCAGACCTTCAGACAGAGGAAGATCAAGACATCTACAATAATAACTGCTGTTTTGGAAGATGTTAAATTTTATTGATGAGGCTGAACAGGGGAGTATCCACATCATATACTTGAAAGCACTATAATGTGCCCACCTGCCAGGGGAAGGGATGCTGCTCTTTGGGCATCTTCCCCGTTCATCTCTCCGTCTCTTTATACTTAAAGTGCTTTGGAACAAGGGCAGGTTGTCTGCCCTTTGCGTAGAGGAGTGTATATCCTCATTATTTTTACTTGTTTTCTTATATTCATTGTATTTTAGAATATCAGGTGGTTTTGCTTTCTTGTCCAAAAGGTACCTACCCATCCTCTGTTTTTGTCCCCGGTGTCCTTGTGAAAGTGTGGGCATGGAAGATACAAGGACTGTGTGATCTTACTGTAATGACACGCTTTTCTTCATCCATGGCTTGCCTGGAGGGTGTCTTCTGTCAAGAGCTTGGTGGGTGGGAGGGAGGCCAGTAAGGAGTCCTGCACAGATCTTTGTTTGTGTGTGTAAAAATCCCTTGATGGGAAATAGCTTTTCTCTGAGTTTCTTTCCTAAAGAAGCCAGCGAGTGCTTCAGCCGTAAGAAGCACCAGATTAGTCAATGCCCGACCCTCAAACTGGTCCAGGCTAAACCAAAGGCAGCAAGAGACAAATAATTTTATCTGGGTTTCTGCCGTAGGCAGCTTAAACAAAGGACAAGGTGCATGTAAAATGGACTGTTATCGACAGCGAAGGGGAACCCAGCCTGCTGAACTAAGCTGAATAAATGCACAAAATAGTAAAGAAATAAAATATCAAGGAATCAGTGTTATTTCCAGGTGAAAAACATCCAAGAGGAAAAGCTGTTGTTGCATAAATTCACAAAAGCAGGTGAAGACAGTGACAAATACTCCTGATGCTAAGATGTATTAAATTGAGGAAGAGAAAATTACACTTGCAGATGTCTCTTTTTTTTTTTTTTTTTTATTTTGTTAAATAATTTTATCTGGGTTTCTGCCGTAGGCAGCTTAAACAAAGGACAAGGTGCATGTAAAATGGACTGTTATCGACAGCGAAGGGGAACCCAGCCTGCTGAACTAAGCTGAATAAATGCACAAAATAGTAAAGAAATAAAATATCAAGGAATCAGTGTTATTTCCAGGTGAAAAACATCCAAGAGGAAAAGCTGTTGTTGCATAAATTCACAAAAGCAGGTGAAGACAGTGACAAATACTCCTGATGCTAAGATGTATTAAATTGAGGAAGAGAAAATTACACTTGCAGATGTCTCTTTTTTTTTTTTTTTTTAATTTCTTTGTTTTCCCCCTTCCAAACCAGTTTCAGGGAGTGATGTCTTGGAATATGGATTTTGATGCCCGTGAAGGAACAGCAAAAGGCAGTGCTGTATCTGAAACCTTCTGATGGCTTTGTAATTGTGTGCTCTGAGGTTTTCTCGCGCCTTCCCCAGCATCATGTGGATATGGCAGCTGTTGAAGACAGGATTGGTGATGGACAACTCACTTTATCCTGTGTGGCAATTCATATTTCCTGAGGGGACTACGCTGACTCTTCAGCTCGTAGAAGTAGATGCAGTCGTGGTTTCTGGAATAAAGACAAAACTGAACTGTCATTCTGCCTTAAGAGGTGGTTTTCTCAAACGTGAAGATGTTGCGAAGTGGTGGCAGCCACCTTCCGAGCCCAGGCTGGAGCCCTGCCGTGCTGCCTGGCTCTGGCACAACCTTTTCAGGCCAAACACCTGAAAAATCAGTTGGTTGTTTGTTTTATTCTTACTCCCTGACTCTTAGTTGTATTTTTCTTTCTTTATTTCATTTGTTTATTTCAGATGGAGGTGGCTCCGCTGTGAGAACTTGATTTGAGATCTTTGGGCAAGTTTCAATGGTAAATAGGCAGTGTCATTAGATAGTGCAGAGCTACACTGTTATTGACCTCTTCCAGTTCAAATAATAATAATAAAAAAATATTAGCTTCTTCTGTGCTTAATTCTGTAGAAAAGCTGTATGAATTTGAAATACATAAACAACACTTCAGCCTGTTTGCGTTGCAGGAACATGGTCCTTCCTCTCTTGGGGGAAGCAAATGCTTCTCGATGATCAGGGACCAGCTGGTCTTAAAAATTAGCATTTCTGACACTGCTGAAGAGACAGCTCCATTCTTGCAGAACCAGAGAAGCTCATGCAGGCAATATTGCATAACTTGAACTTTTGAATCATCAGGTGGCTCTCTAGAAGGGAGGTCCCACGTCATGCATGTTCTGTGGGCTGAGAGGTTGTTTTCTAACCAATAGTGTTGGCCAAACTGTAGCTATTTTGCTCCAGTAGATGATAATAATAGCACAGACTAGGGAAGGGGGCAGACATCTTACGGATCCATATCCCATGGTGTGGGAAACCCACTTGAAGGTGTCAGGAAACTTTCTTAATCGTGGCTGTCCTAGGACCTCCTGCTGCTGAGATCTGAACAGATGGGACTGACGTGGTGTTTGAACTTGATGTTTGTTAGAGAGTTGCTCCGAGCTCGAATCAGCCTCCTTACTGACAGTGCTTGTATGTAACCACATACTCTTCAAGACCATAAGACCTCAGAAATACAGTGATTCTGGTTTTTATCAGCAACCACCCATAGCCTAAATCCAGGCTTCTGATGTGTGTGCCTGCCTGTAATTACATTCAGAATCTGGTCTTGTCAGCACATCCCAGCTTTACAGTTGTATGTCGACATGTGAACCCACATATCCATTTTACAATTGGAACTTCTTATGGTGGAACAAATTGAAATTTTTGAGAGAAAGGAGTAGGTATCCTTCCCATTGTATGGCAGCTTAATGCTCTGAATTAGTGAAAGGTGATTAAAAGTCCTGTTCTTCTCAGCTTGATGGATTCTTTGTTATTTTGGTCATGTTCATCCCTTCTAAACATGAATGTTTAGGTCATTATTAGAATTTCTCTACCGAATAGCTTAGGTTGGGAGGTTAACTTGGAGATATAAAGCCAAGGAAATAACATGGTTTATTACAAAGCTAAAAATCTTCTGCTTATAAGTAGTTAAGCTTCAAATAACATTAATTTCATAGTTCTGATCTGGGGACTTAACATTTTGTGATCTGTGGTCTTGGATTTGCCTGTTGCTCTTCTGACTTGAGAACAGTATTTATAGCCCCTCAACGGCAATATAAGGAGGGAAATAGCTGGTTTCAATTGGCTTTTGCTGTCTGAGGAGTTCAGCAATTCAGTGTGTTACACATAATGCTGGTTCCCTTGAGGAAATTGTGTTACAGAGTGCTCTTCAATAGTTTGTCTCCATCAGCGTGGTTTCAAGTGGAGTATCTCTTTCAAAACCAAACTTTACTGAACCCAAACAGTAAAAAAAAAAACCTGACAGCTGTTTTACCCAAGTAACTCAAGACAGGTTTTCTTAAAAGTCTGTAGTAATTTAAAGAAGTGTTTCTCTAGGATGTTATGAACCACTGGAGGATTGAGCTTCAAATCTAGTCCCTTTTAATGTAAGTTATCTGAAGTCTGGTAAAAATAAGCTGCATCGTGTAATGAATGTGTGGTCTTTCTAGGCAGCAGTTGTATTTTGTGGTATTCTTTCAAGATGAACCTGTTACTTAATTTTGTACAACTTGGGGTTTGTCTCGGTCTGTGAGCTTGTATTGGATTTGGTAATACTGTCATTTCCTTCCCCGTACAGGACTTGTGGAAGAGGAAACACAAAGATTTCCAAATGAATAACCGAAAGGAAGATATGGAGATCGCTTCCCACTACCGTCATCTGCTGCGTGAGCTTAACGAGCAGAGGCAACACGGCATCCTCTGCGACGTCTGCATTATCGTGGAGGGCAAGATATTCAAGGCTCACAAAAACGTTCTGCTGGGGAGCAGTCGCTACTTCAAAACGCTCTACTGCCAGGTCCAGAAAACCTCCGACCAGGCCACCGTCACCCATTTGGACATCGTAACTGCACAGGGCTTCAAAGCCATCATTGACTTCATGTATTCCGCGCACCTCGCGCTGACCAGCAGGAACGTCATCGAGGTGATGTCGGCCGCGAGCTATCTGCAGATGACGGATATCGTACAGGCCTGCCACAATTTCATAAAAGCAGCTCTCGACATCAGCATCAAGTCTGATGCCTCGGACGACCTCGTCGATTATGAACTGGGAGCCCCTTCCAGCAGCAGCACGGACGCGTTGATCTCGGCGGTGGTAGCTGGCAGGAGTATATCGCCCTGGCTGGCGCGGAGAACGAGCCCGGCAAACTCTTCTGGAGATTCAGCCATCGCCAGCTGCCACGAAGGAGGGAGTAGTTATGGAAAAGAGGATCAAGAACCAAAAGCGGAGAGCCACGAAGACATTTCATCCCAGTCTCTTTGGACTAGTGACATGGGCTATGGGTCTTTACGTATCAAAGAGGAACAGGTTTCGCCGTCGCATTATGGAGGGAGTGAACTACATTCTGCCAAGGATAGTGCAATACAGAATGCCTTCTCAGAACAAGGAGTAGGGGATGGCTGGCAGCCCACCGGGCGCAGGAAGAACAGGAAAAATAAAGAAACTGTGCGGCATATTACACAGCAGGTGGAGGATGACAGCAGGGCAAGTTCTCCAATGCCCTCTTTTTTGCCTGCCTCAGGATGGCCGTACAGCAGTCGAGACCCAAGTAAGTCATTCTTCTAGGTTTTCATGGCTGAAATTAAAAACGTAGAGTTAATTAGATCTGTTTATGGTATGATCTTATCAGTCTCTGAAATATATTAGCTTGCCAGAAACTGAAAAATGTAGACTCTTGTGTTGCCAGCAATTCAACAGACCCAAGGGCCATACGGTTCAGCCGGGGACCTCAGTGTCACAGCACTCCAGGCTGGTTCTCCTGTGAAAGAAACTGGTAGCTTTGTTTTGGCCTTGAACATAGAATGGCCTAAATCACCCCTCAAACCCACCATTGTAATTGTTGGAATTAATGAGAGAAAAGGTTTTGGAATTTATTTTAGCAGGGGTGCAAACTGGTGTCAAGGCTGAAGAATTTTCCTTGCACTGTATATTGATGATGTAATTACCCCCACGGAGGTGTAATTTAGTCTTAACGGTACTGTCTTCCTAATATTCAGGTGTCACATTCTCATGTGTAAGAAAATCCCTGTAGGTTGTTGCTGGTAATGGCAAGGCATGTGTTTGGCAGCTCTTAAGAATTATGTGGGTTTTTGAGGTACTACTAAAGCTTAAAATGTGTTTTGATGTGTGACTACTTGCAGGCTGAGATGAGTGGCTGCTTTTAAAGTGTGTAGCCAGGGAGAAAAATGTTTTCTTGCCGCCTTTTGCATCTTCAGTAGTTGTTTTTCTGTCTCAAGATAACAGTCCTGTTTGAGTCATTAATCACTGGTGGTTAATAGATCCAGGAATGCTACTGATGTCGGGTTTGGGTGGGTTTTTTTTTTCCTAAGGACTTCAAGGGAGTGTGGTATTAAATTCACTCAAGCTGACTTGAAGAACTTCGTCTGTGCTGTGAGCCTGGGTTTCATCGCATACCAGATTCCAAGTTGGCCAGGAGAAGGGTGTGTGAGATTATATACCCTTATGTTGCCAAATTCAGATGAAAAAAAGCAACATAAATAGTACTGAAAGTCTGAAGAGTCTTTATGGGCTGAAAAAGGATGTTTAAGTTGCTTACATACTGAAGTTTAAATGTGGTTTTCATTGAACGGGTAGCTCTCTACAAATGTCTTTAGATTTATTATGTTTTACAGTTATCTGCTGCAGCGTGCTTGCATGTAATTATTCTAATTGGCCAATGATAAAATCTAAACAATGTCAGTTAGAAGAAAAATGCAAGATAACTTAAGATAACAGTGATTTATGACAAATCCTTTTTTATAATGCCTGTATTTTCGGATTGTTTTGAATGAAGATCCAGCGTGGATTGCCTGGCTTGCTGTTCACATGCAAATATTTTTCATTTTGACAGAATCCTGTAAAAATAATTCAGTTATTTGTACTGTCTATGAGGTGGGGGGGTTTGGGCAGGTTTGTGACACAAACTACTTGCATTGGAGTGACTGCAGAGACACAACTGCTGCTCTGATCCTCGTAGCCAACTGGTTGTAGATTGAATACCTTTAAACTACTGAAAACGGTGCAAAATAGAAGAGACTGTGTTACGGGAAGCTGAATGATGTCTAGATTACTTAATTCCTAATTGCTAAGGAGTTAAATAGAAGTGGCCTTTTTCTTTACAGCTGTTTGCAGATGAGAGGAAGATGGTTTCTAGTGTTGACTCGGTGCAGTGCTGAGACAACGCGTCAGCAGGCACAATCAGAATATTTGTTCCAAATCTTGTCTTTAATGCAATTTCCAGTAAAAGAGGTGTTTCTCATGATGGGAAGGGGGAAGCGGAGTGGTGGTGGTTGGGGGAATAGTTTTGATATTTCACTAGTGCTGGTAAAGCAAAAGGAAAAGCTGAACAGCAGGACTTCTCACTGTCTAGAACGAGAGGGATGCCGGAACCGAACAGGCTGTGCGTGTTGGCAGGGTCCAGCCTGTCTGGTGGCTGCTCCAAGAGCAGTGTGTGGAGTAAAAGTAGCCATGCTGAGCACGGAGGGTGTTTGGAGACAGAGCTACTTGTGGTTTCCCTGTGTTGACCATCTGGAGAGGGAAGCAGAGATGAAATTCTCCTTTCTGCCCAGCTGAAAAGAGACGTTTCTCTGCACTGTGGGGCCTGAGCTCCTGCTATGGCTGCACCTCTGCACGCGCAGGGGAAGCACACAAGAGGAGCCCTGCCTGCATTTTAGGTTGAATTTTCTTGTCTTTTGGGGGATTTTGGGGTATGAATTTGGAGGATTTACGTTATGTGTGTGTTCAGTTTCAGTTAACACTTGGACATCTTGTCAGCAGCAAGGCTCTTGTGCGCGGGTGTGTGTTGATGTGGTTTGGGTGAAATCAGAGTCAGTCACTCAGCTGAGGTTCCTTCTCTTTCTGTGTGTAGTGAGACCATCCCCGCTATCCCAAACCATCACTGTCTTGGTCCCTACAAACAGTAGGGTCTTTTGGTCTCACATTGATATTTCCCATCTCCAGCAGGTGGAAGCAACCCTCCTGCAAGCTGCTCTGTCTCCCAAGTTGCCAAGCTTAGGGGTTCTCTCTTATTGGTACCCCAGGTTCTTCCCTTTCTTGCCAGAATTCAGAATTAGTCTAAGGGTGTTGCAAACTTACATCCTAAGCATGAAAAAAAGTTGATTCTCTTGCGTGAAAATGGATAATGGCAAGTGTCTGCACTGTGTAATGTACATTTGGGATATGTTTAAATTTCAGCTTGAAGTTGTCTTTGATTTAGTAGTGTCAGGCTTCATTCTTTAAAACAGACTTCATAGTCTGGGGCTCTTTTTTTACATCATTTATTTAGAAGTGTCCCTATCTGTATTGTTCATAGCTGAGATGAAAAGGTACTCGTTTGCTGAGGAAATGGGTGGCGAATGTTCTTTCATGAGTAGCTGAGAGGAAGAAAGTCACCTAAAACTCTTTGTTCTTTGAGGCTCATTCACTTTTCTGATCTAATCAGTTATTTTAAGATTCTACTTGTTCAGTCTGGAAGCCCTCATTGTGGGATAATTTGAGTGCCATTTGCAAATGTCTCTGTACTGGAGGACTAATGCACACTCTGGTAATGCATTACATTCTGGTAATGCAAAGCTGATTTAGGAGTGTCCATTTTAAAAGTTCAGCATTAGTGTCTTCCTCCTGAAATTGTGCAAGGTACTCACTTGGCCTTACTTGTGAACAACGTTGCATTTCACCAGCCCGCAGGCAATGTTTTTTGGAAGGTGGGTCTTGTACATGACCATTGCATCAGCCTTTTAACTCAGTGATTATTTGGGGCAGTATACTCCACAAATTAAAACTGCTCTCCTACTCCTGTATTATACAGGATTACTTAATTGATGGTATGTTACAAAGAAGCACATTGCAGTCACTGAAACTTTGCTTTTGAAACAACTAAGAGCTCGTTTACGCTTGTTAGTGGTGCTTCTTTCAGTGGGAAACATGTTCTCATCGATACAGGCAGTGTACTAAAGTGTCCCACATATGTAACTGGACTGTATTTAAATATGAGTCAGTGGGACCTCAAAAAGACAGAATTTTCTTAACCTTTCAATTAAAAAAAAATAATTTCTATTTGGATCACTTAATTGTTTTCCAGATGCTGGGGGATGCTGCTGAGAGTCTTTGAATTTGATCACATTATGGATTCAAATAAAAAAGGAGTGTCTGGAGTAATCTTATTAATGGTAATCTAACATAATGGAAATAGCAACTGAAACAAGAGATTCTTAACGTCTGGCATGAAGAGTGTATCTTCATCCAAGAAAGAATCATCAAATAGGATTTGCAAAAGAATCCAAACTAAGTCGAGACGGTAGACTGAGAACGTGATTAAGCTCTCAGTTTCAAGAGGGTGGTGTCAGTCAAGCACAAAGCGTGATGAGGACCATCTTTTCATGCTAGTTTCAGTCTGTTAATTTGGATTCTCTGTTTAGCATAAAACACATTAGCTTTTTCCTTTCTCATCGTGTTTGGGTTGTTCAGGATGTCAGTCTGTCACTCCTCGTATGAAACATTCATATATATGTTTTCTTCACCAAGCCACACTAACTTGGAAGAGGGATTCTCCAATGTAAACTGAAGGATGAGATTTTATAAATAATAACTTGCTTCATAACTGAGCCAAGAAGAATTTCCTCCACACACTTGCCAAGATAAGAGGTCTGCCTTTTATTTTAACCTTTCTTTTTGAATTTCATAGGTTTCCTAAAGAAACATATTGCTCTTTGCTAGTCTTAGTATCAAAGATGCTTATGAAATTCAGAAGTAGTCTTGTACCTTGAGCATCTTCATTTTCCTTAAGTTGCTGTTCCTTTAATGTTGGCTGGATAAAGTTTTTATAGGATTAGACGTCCTGAGTGCACAGGCTTCAGGATCGGGTGGTATTTTAAAGGCTCTTGCCAGAAGAGGACAGTTTTCTTCACTAGAAGAGTTGATAACACTAGCGAAATGTTGTGCATTTTGCCACTTCATATAATGGAAAACTCTGTCACTTTGAAGGCTGTCTTTTGAAGAATTTATTGATGGTTTTATTATTGTGTTAGTTCAAACATAGTAGTTATGATTCAGGAATTTATTTCTAAGGAAATACTCCCACACATCTTCTGAGTGTTTGCATCCTAAAGCTGCGAGTGAATTTCTGTGTGCCAATTGACTGTGAAATGAAGCTAATTATTTTCAAAACAAACCAGTCATTTTTAAAGACGCAGCAGTTTGGGAACTTCTTGCTTTACTTTAGTTACGTGTAGTGAAATTGTCGCATTTTCAAAACAAACCAGTCATTTTTAAAGATGCTGCAGTTTGGGAACTTCTTGTTTTACTTTAGTTATGTGTAGTGAAATTGTTGCACTCTGTATAAAAAGAACTTCAGGATTTAAGTAATCCCAGAGCAGTGACCTTCATGGCTATGATGGACAGGACTTCGCTGTATCCGTCTGGCTTTGCAGAGTTCCAAGTTCCTTTAAAGATTTTGATGGGAAAATATTAACGATGCACAAGTTTCCTCCCTCGTGGAGAGGAGACGTTCAAGCTCGTCATTTTCCAATGACACGCTGTGATTTCAGTGCC